GCCAATTGTGAGAGAGAGCCAATGTGAAAACCGTCCGAACTGTAACAGGCTTGACAACCAGACTGAATGTATCATTAAAGTCGAGCCCGGGGCGCTGATGAAATCCCTTGGCCACTAGGCGAGTCTTAAAACGTTCAATGGCACCGTCAGAACGATGCTTAACGCGAAAGACCCATCGGTTGCCAAGAATATTATAGTGAGGAAGACAAGGTACTAAGTCCCAACTTCCATTGGCCAGAAGGGAATTATTTTCAACAGTTAGAGCCTGCCGCCATTCGGGTTCTTTCATAGCTTCCTTGACTGTAGCAGGCTGGAGAGGTGGTGGCCCAGATGGCAAATGAGTGTGAAATAGCCGCTTGGGCTTAAATATAACTAATTGAGCCCGTGTCTTCATGGAATGAGTGCGAAGAGGACGTGGCGGTGGGCCAGGGCAAGGCTGAAGCTTAGATGGAGGAGTAACGGGCGCCGAAGTGGGCTAAGGGACTAAGGAAGGCCCACAAGGTGGAGAAGGATCTAGCGGGGGAGACACTGCTGCCGAAGAGGGATGGGCCGGGAGAGGCCCAGTAGCCTCTGGGAGATGCAAAGAATGGCATGGGAGCGTAGTAATTATGGGAGAGAGATAAAAAATCCAAGACGCGGGCTAGGGAAGGTCACGTGAAGGATCGGAATGAAATCCTGGAAATTTATCCTCAACAAATATGACATGACGAGAAAAATAGATACGGTGAGTGTTAGAATCAAAAGACCGATAAACACTTCACTGAGGACAATAACCGAGGAATAGACACAAGCGAGAACGAGGGTCAAGTTTGTGGGAAGAATAAGGACGAAGCCAGGGATAACAAAGACAGCCAAAGACCCGAAGTTCATGATAGTTAGGTGATAAATTGAAAAGTAGAGTGCAGGAAATCTTACCACTCAACGCAGAGGACGGGAGGAGATTGATGAGGTAAATGGCGGTGGAAAAAGCAAAGGACCAAAAAGATGTAGGGAGGTGAGCATGATGGAGAAGAGTTACACCAGTTTCGACCAAATGACGATGTTTGCGCTCGGCAAGACCGTTATGTTCAGGTGTGTGAGGAGGAGTGAATAGATGAGTTATGCCATTGTCAAGAAGATCATAACGTAATTTTTGAAATTCGCCACCACCATTAGTATATAAATGACGAATAGTGGTAGAGAAATAATTTTCAACCATTTTCCTAAAATCGAGAAAAACTTGGAGCACATCGGATTTACGACATAAAGGGTAATACCAAGTATATCTAGTGAAATGATCAATGATAATCAAATAATAGCAATAACCATCAATAGAAGAAACGGGAGCAGGCCCCCAAACATATGTATACAAGATATCAAATGGACACACACTGGATAAGGACAAGACAGAAAAGGGAAGTTTGTGGCTTTTATTGGAAAAACAAGCATCACAGGAAGAACTAGCTACCGATGATGAGACTTGAAGAGAATAAGATCGAATAAGGCTAGTAAGAGAATGATGAGAAGGGTGACCCAGTCGAGCGTGCTAGGAAGTGGCTGATGTGCGAGTGTTAGCCAAGGCCAGACGAATTGTCTCCACATCCCGAGGCAACTGGTAGACATCACCGTTGTTTTCCCCCTTCAGCAGATGCGCCCCCGTGCGAAGATCATTCACAAGAAAATGAGTGGCAAAAATTCCACAGAGACAGGATTAGTTTGACATAATTTAGCGGCCGAAATGAGATGTCTCTTGATATTAGGAACACATAGTATGTCGTGTAAATGGAATTGAGCAGGATCAAAAGAAACAGCGGAAGAGCCAATGTGTGATATTGCCAAACCTGAGTCATCACGAACAAGAATCTCATCGGGCCCTGTATAGTCAGAATATAGTGATAACTGGCCCAAGTCTGAAGTCACATGACGAGAAGCAGCAGTATCCATAAGCCAGGGCCCAGCCGAAGGCGAGGAGCCCATATTAGATTTGGTGTGATGGGCTTGAGCATGGAGGGCCTGATTAAACACATGACGGGCCTGAGGGAATAACTTAAAACATTGACTGACTAAATGCCCAGCCCGGTCACAATACTAACAAACCACAGTGGGCTTTCGAGGACGAGGGGTCTCGAGTGGAGAAGTTGGGCCTGGACGGCTGGAGTGATCAAAGCCCAGACTATTAGGTCTCTGACGCAGAGGGCTGGCATATGAGGGATTGCCGCCGCTATTGAATGAGGGATTGCCGCCGCTGCGAGATGATGGGCCGCCGCCATGGAAAGAAGCAGTGTTGCCGCAGCGACGAGACCCCTGGGTGAAAAAGGCGGTGGGCACTGCAGTGGTGTGTTGCTGTTCTTTTAAGTCAGCTTCATATTCAATTAGAGAGTCCAATAAATCTTCAATAGTAATGACCGAACCCTTAGCACGTACAACAGCAGAAAATTGACTATAATCTGGACCAAGACCACGAAGGATATGAACCACAAGATCAAGATTTGACACTAGGGCATCAACAAGGGGCAACTCTGCTGCAATAAGTTTCATATCATTGACATAGGTGAGCACATCGCGATCACCCCTATTAGTGCGACCCAACTTTTCTTTCAGATTAATCAAACGAGACTGAGAGCGATTAGCATAGAGTTTATCCAGAATTAACCAAGCATCGCGAGGCGTCACCGCAATAGAGACATAAGAAAACAGAGATTCAGAAATATAGCATCGAAGGGCATGAAGAATAAGCTTATCTTGTCGAAACCAGCGATGATAAGCAGGATTAGGTGTGGTGGTGCCACCCACTCAGCAGCGGCTGCGTTAACAGCAGTGGACACAGTGTCGTCGACCATGATTGCGTGAGAAAAAAAAATTGGGGAAGAAAAACGTTGCCGAGAGAGAAATAGAGAGACGATTAAAACAACAGATGGATCGAGCTTAGCTGAACTTTGCTGTCTCTGATACCATGATAGAGGTATTAGGAAATGATATTGTTTGTGAAAATCAGCTTATGATTTCATTGAGATCTGGAAGCATAATTATACACGTACAGAGGAGGGTTTCTAGCAACTAACATACTCACGTCCCACAAAGATAGGAATGGTAGAATGTGGAATAATAATAATAAAATAAAAGAAAGAAAGAAAATTCTTTTATGCACTATCACAAACAAGCTTAAGCTCCGATTTAGAGCTTCTGCCAAAAGCTATTTTGAAAATACAAAATTATTCTTACCATATTTTAATTTTATTTCAGAAAATATAATTTCTTTCGATTGTATTATTTTAAAAAAAAAAATATGAGAGCACATTATTTAATATAAAAGAAATCTAGCAATATTCATTTTGACTACTTTTTATTGTTTATAATTTTTATTTATATTTTATATTATATATCCTTTATAGTCATTTTACATAACCTCTTATATTAAAAAAAGACTTTTAATAGTTTTTCAACCAAATACTCAACTGCTTTTTTTTTAAGTACTTCTCTAAAAGATCCTACCAGGAGCTACTTCTGCAAAAGCTACAGGAGGGCCAAATTAGCCCTATGTTTGGCCCAACTTTTAGAAGCGCTTTTCGTCTGCAGGAGTTAAAGCAGGGTCAAACACCTCTAAAAACTCGGTTTTTAAAAAGCCGAAAAATGTTTTTGTATAACATAAAAGTAGAAGCTCCGATTTAGAGCTTCTACGAAAAGCTATTTTGAAAATGCAAGATTATTCCTACCATATTTTAATTTTATTTCAGAAAATATAATTTTATTTCACTTTATAATTTTAAAAATAAAATAAATTATGAAAGTATATTATTTGATATAAAAGAAATCTAACAAGATCCATTTTTGACTATTTTTTATTGTTAAATTTTTTTTCATATTTTATATTATATAACTCTTATAGTCATTTTACATAACCTGTTATATTAAAAAACACTTTTAATAGTTTTTCAGTCAAACACTCAACTATTTTTTTTAAGTATATCTGTAAAATCTCCAGCCAGAAACTACTTCGGTAAATGTTATAACAGGTCATCGAAATTTTGAATTCATATACCTAATTCATCATCAAATTCAACAACTAATTTATTCCCCAAAATAATCCAATTCCATCACAAATTCCTCAATTTTCTCAATTCTTAGAATTCTCAAATTTCGATTTTTCAGATCCCAACATGCAAAACCATCCCTTTATTAGTAATTATTTTCTATCAGGCCATAACCCTAATATACCATACATAGAAATAAATGAAAGCAGATTCTATATAAAGTACCATAGTTAGTAAAATACGGTACGGGAAAGTTACGTAAAAAATACGTACGGGTATTTTACGTCGTCTCTAAGTTAAAGGTACGTTTAATAGTACGTTAATAGTAATAAATATTTAAAAATAAATTATTTTAAAAATAAATAAATATATAAATAATAGTAAAGTTCACAATTTAATTCATTAAATTCGGATATTAAACGTGTTATACGGGTTTTATACGTGTTTAATACGGGAGCCATCCAATGAACGGAACAAAATGAAACGGCTTGACAATAATACGGATACGGAAGTTTTAAACGGATAAAGTACGTACGGGTACATATACGTGTATTAAACGGAGTATTTACTAACTATGATGAAGACTACAATTAAGTATAGTTTGAAGTCCAACTATAAAAATCCATCCCTCCATATCGACCATGTATGCTTAAAATTATCTATCCCAATAATTTATTTCAATGTATCTATCTCTTCAACGAACCCTTTAATTAATTAATTGATGACACAGCCTTTCCCGTTTACTCCAGTATATAGGGAGGAGTTACGTTGGCCCAAGAAGAAAGGCCGTATTTCCATTGGTCAACGTGCATGCATGAGATCTAGTCACGAGATTAAGACGTAACTCTTTGTTAATTACCTCATTAGAGCTAGTCACTGTATTATAAAAAACCATGCAGCTGGACCGATCATCTATTGCAATTCACGTTCAAAACCAAAACCAGATACTTAATTCTCATCATTAGCACTAAGCAAAAAAAAGAGAAAGAAATGGCCGCCGCTTACGATAGACTTGCGGAGCTGAAGGCGTTCGACGAAACGAAAGCCGGCGTCAAAGGCCTGGCGGACGCCGGGATCACAGATCTCCCTCGTTTCTTCCACGCGCCGCCGCATCTTCTCCACGGCAGTCCTGCAGCTCCAGCTGACGATCCGAGCTACGTTTTCCCAATCATCGACCTGGACGGCGCGTGGGAAGATCCCGACAAGCGGAATCGGATTGTTGGGGAAATCAGGGAGGCGTCGGCAAACTGGGGATTCTTCCACGTCGTCAACCACGGCGTCCCTGCACGCGTCGTCGACGAAATGAAAGCCGGAGCCCACAGGTATGCACTAAAGAAAGTCTTCAATTAACATACATTCATTTCTCGTAATAATTCGAGTTATTCATACCAGTTACTTTATAACATGATATCAGAGTTGATTTGTTTATGAGATCACGTGTTCAATTCCTCACGACTAGGGATGGCAATTTTGACCTGAACCGTTGTACCCGACCTGTTTGACCTGTTTTGGGCGGGTCCGACCCGCCCCGTAGGCGGGGCGAGAATGGGTACTCTCATCAACCTGACCTGCATTGACCCGCCCCATTCTCGACCCGTTCTTGCCTCAATTACACGTAATTTAAGTCAAATTACTTAGGATTTTTCTTTTACTAAATCAAATTTTAGCTATAATAAAGTTGTAAGTTAGTGAAAACCTCAATTTCTCCAATAATTTTACTATATTTATTATAATATTGTTTGTTTCCATGGTCTTATAATAAAAATAACGAACATTTCTAATATTTTTCATATAAATTGCTTACCCATTGGGTCGACCTGCCCCGACCCGTGACCCGTGATAAATTACCCGACCTGAACCCGACCTGCTATGGGGTGGATCTGGGTACCAAGAAACCCGCTCCGGACCTGCCCCATTGCCATCCGTACTCACGACTCCTATATTAACCGTTGTTTTAAAACACATGATATAACAGGCATGTATACAAGAACTTCTCGCAATTAATAACTCGAATTATTGAGATGAGTTGATTTATGACACACTGTCCATTCATTAATAATATTGCTTACGAATATGCACTTATAAAAAGGATTATATGGTTTCGTCGTTGATTGGCTTTATTAGGTTTTTTGAGCTGGATGTCAAGCAGAAGAAGGAATACTTCGGCCGTGACATGACCAAAAAAGTGGTCTACAACACCAACTTCGATCTCTACAGTTCACCGGCGGCTAACTGGCGGGACACCATCCTCTTCCACATGGCACCAAACCCACCGGAGCCGGAGCAACTGCCCACCTGCTGCAGGGAGATCGTGACAGAGTTCTCCAAAGAGATGCTGAATCTCGGAGACGTGCTTTTCCAGTTATTATCCGAGGCTCTGGGTCTGCGGTCGAACCACTTGAAAGAAATCGGTTGCTTGGAGGGAATGGACACGGCTTACAATTACTACCCGGTTTGCCCCGAGCCAGAACTCACTTTGGGAGCAACACAGCACACAGATACAGGATTTATTACGGTGCTTGCGCAGGATGACATTGGAGGCCTTCAAGTTCTTCATCGAAATCGTTGGGTCGATGTGCCTCCTATGTCCCAAGGTTTGGTGGTTAACCTCGGAACTCTTCTTCAGGCAAGACATTTTTAATTCTTAATCAAATAATTGCTTCGACATAAATTATTATATAATAGAGGTTAAATAAGGATTTTGTCGAGATGATATATCATTGGTCTAACTTCGTTACTTTTGATCAATGCAAACCTCGTTTTGTTCAGGTAATGTCTAACGATAAGTTCACCAGCGTGGAGCATAGAGTGGTATTAAAAGGCGCGGAGCCAAGAGTCTCTGCCATATCCTTTTTCGGGATTGGGTACACATTGAACACGAGGTTATATGGACCTGTAGAAGAATTGTTATCTGAAGACAATCCTCCGAAATATAAGAAGACCACGATTAAAGATCTGGTTGCTCATGCATACAAGCAAGGTCTTGATGGGACCTCTTTTCTGCATCATCTTAAGCTTATGGATTAAAATGATAGGCATCAGAAGTACCATACAAGAAATCTGTCTATTTGTAGGCAGGGGGGAAATGTATGTCTCGAATATATATGCGTATCAAGCTGCTATTGCCTTTCTCTATTTTTTTGTGCTTTCTTCATTTTGCTTAATAAATCTTATCCCCGCCGTCAAAAAAAGAATCGCCTGTTTGGAACAAGAATGGTTTCTTTCAGCAAAAGAATAATGATTTGTATGTAAGTTTGTCGAATAATTTTCTTTGGTGTAATATATTTTGAATGTTAAGTGTGTGGCTCTTAGTAATTTTCTTAAATGATGTTGCAAGCTAGAGATGGGAGTTTAGAGTTTGTCTCAATCGCAGTTGTAAGATTTAATTAATTTTGCCACTATACTAAGCTCACCTACTTTTATTTTATTGTAATAATTTGATTTAGTACACTACTACAAGTAAAATCCTCCGTCAAAATAATTTATATTCTGAAGGAAAAAAAAAAGACACACTTAATTTCCACTTCTGGCTCCACCACCTACATACTCCACGACGATAATTTACTTATTTTCTTCAGCTTGCAGTCGAGATATAGAGCGTCCAGTATATACCAAACGACCATCACTCTAGCCCTACACTATCATCCGCCAATCACTTTGATGAACCGTAACTCCCGGTTCCAGAATTTAGCTTGTAACTAATTAACGGGCGAGAGTACGACGTAAAGTGCCAAAAAAATGTGTTCTTTGTTATTATTTTCGATTAATTGAATTAATGTCGTAGTTACAATATTGACATGCAATTATAAACCTAATACGTAACCCTAGCTAATCCCGAACCCTACTAGTGTCAAAATATGAAATATAGCATAATCGAAACACGAAATTTAACGTGGTATCCTCAACGTATTGTTGAGACTAATCCACGAAGAGGGAGAAACCTCTCGGAGTCAATTGTATTACGTAGCTTTCAAAGGCTTAAGAGTTACAGACGACATAATGACATATATATATTAGCCGCCCATAAACCCTAAGCTAGAGGCTGCGGAAGGTAATTAACCGAAAACTACCAAGGTTAATTACAATCCAGCACCTAATCTTCTAACAGCCTCCCTCAAATTGATGTAGCTTACGCAACATCAATTTGTAAGCCAGAAACCAATGTCGAGCAGTAGCCACTGCTTTCGTCAGCAAATCTACGGTCTGTTCTTCGGACGTGATATACGAAAGCGCCACCTGTCCTTCAGACACAAGCTGACGAATATAATGCACATGGACCTCAATATGCTTGGTTCGATCATGAAGAACCGGGTTTGTAGCAATCCGAATCGCGCTGGTATTGTCACCAAACAAACGCATAGGAGTCTGACACTCAACACCAATTTCTGCCAACAGTCGCCGAAGCCAAACCAATTCCGAGGTAGCTTCAGACATCGATCGGTATTCCGCTTCAGTGGACGATTTCGACACTCGTTCCTGCTTCTTACATCTCTAAGAAATGAATGACTGTCCCATCTTCACACACCACCCTGACGTAGAACGTCTAGTATCGAGGCAACAGCATAATCAGCATCAGCAAAAGCCTCTAAGACAGGAGTACTCGATGCTGGGAAGAATAACCCGACTTCTTGAGTCCCACGCAGATACCGAAGAATCCTGTTAACAGCTACCAAATGAGAAGTACGGGGTGCTTGCATGAATTGACTGACCACCTGAACCGCATAACTAATATCAGCACGAGTATGCGTGAGATAAATAAGGCTCCCCACCATACTCCGATAAAACGAACCATCAGGCAATAAATCACCATCCATCTTACGCAGTTTAAGGTTCTGCTCCATGGGAGTAGCACACGGAACACAATCATCCATGGGAGCTGTCTCAAGTAAATCCACTATATACTTCTGTTGACACAACAACAAGCCAGACTTCGAACGATGGACTTCGAAACCCAAAAAATAAGACAAATCACCTAGCTCCTTGAGATTAAATGCAGAACGCAGTGCCTAAGTCAGCATTTGGATACCATCTTCATCATCCCCACTAATAACCATATCATCCACATATATGAGAAGAACAGTAATATCAGCCGCAGTACGACGAGTAAATAAAGACGGATCATTGCTACTCTGAACAAACCCGATCTGCTGTACCGTATTATGAAACTTGTCAAACCAGGCCCGTGGAGCCTGTTTCAGACCATATAAGGAGCGCCTAAGACGACATACCATAGATTTGTCACCCTTAGAATAGTTAGGAGGACACTCCATATAGATGGTTTCCTTTAGATCCCCATGCAGGAACGCATTCTTCACATCTAGTTGCTGTAGTCGCCACCCACGCATAGCAGCAACAGCAAGAAGAGCCCGAACAGTTTGCATTTTGGCAACAGGAGCAAACGTCTCATCATAATCAATCCCAAACTCCTGTTTAAAACCTTGTGCAACCACCCGAGCACGAAAACGCTCAATCGTGCCATCCGGATGCATCTTCACAGTGTAGACCCATCGAGAACCAATAACAGAATATTCAGGACGCCGGGGAACAACATCCCATGTATGAGAAGACTCCAATGCTGCAAATTCCACATCCATAGCATCATCCCAACACTTATGCCCATGTGCCTGTTTATAAGAAGTCGGAACAGGGACATGTTGAATGGAAAAGGCTACAAAATCATTGTAGCGAATAGGGGGTTGACCTCGAGTAACTCTGTCCGAACGGCGAAGAACCACAGGCGCCTCGGCTGGCGGGGAAGTTGGCGGCGAGTCGGAACCATCCGAGGAGTTGGAACTCTCGGACGAGGAAGAGAACGGTGAGGCTGCGGAAGTGGACCCAGCGGAGGAAGAACCTGGAACAGGAGAGGGCGGATCGGGGGGGATCAAGTGCAGGTGGCAACTCAGAAGGGAACTCAGCCATGGGCTGAAAAAATTCAGTAGCTACCTGTTGTGCTTCCGCCGAGGACGAGTAATATGAGAGGTGTTCAAGAAAAACAACATCACAGGATATCCGAATTCGACGATTAACAGCATTATAACACACATAACCCTTGTGCTTCTCACTGTAACCTACAAAAACACACTTAATCGCCTTAGGAGCAAATTTATGACGTTCACGGCGGGGGAGTAACACATAGCAAACACAGCCAAAGACCCGCAGCCAATCATACTTCGGGAGACGTTGATACAAAACTTGGTACGGGCTTTTGTGGTCCAAAACAGAAGGAGGTTGACGATTAATCAGGTAAACAACAGTGTGAATGACTTCCACCCAAAAATTAGTAGGAACACCAGACTGAAATAGAAGAGCTCGCGCAAGCTCAACAACATGTCGGTGTTTTCTTTCCACCAACCCGTTTTGCTGAGACACTCCCGGACACGATTGTTGAGGTAGAATACCGCGATCCCGAAACACTTCTTGAAGAGGGCCTGAGGTAAACTCGCCACCCGGATCAGAGCGCAATACCTTGACCGATCGACCAAACTGTGTATGTACCATGGCAAAAAACTCCTTAGCCGCACCAAGTAAATCAGACTTTTGCCGGACAAAGTACACCCAGGTATACTACCGAGTAGCATGATCCACAAATAGGGCTGGTATTCGGTAAACCGGTATGCGGTATAACCGGGTATCGAACCGATTACAATCGGTATTCGGTATACCGAATACCGGCGGTATCGGTATTCGGCTGCACTTCTTGGCCAGTCGGTATACCGAATACCGATTAGTTATATACCGAATACCGATTAATTTATACCGAATACCGAATTAAAAAAAACGGCAGCGTAGCGAAATTGGAGAACCCTAAATGCCTAAAGCCAATTTTTCTCCAGCCGCCCTCCACCACTTCGTCCTCGTCTCTGTTCGATTGTTCCTCTCCAGCCGCCCTCCACCTCGTCTCTGTTCCTCAGGAGACGAAACCCAGCCGCCGGCCAGCAGCGGCAGCCAGCAGCAGTCCCTGCTCCCTTTCGCCGCGAAAGTCGTGAGCACAGCAGGCAGGGGCACTCTTCGCCGCGAAAGTCGTCAGCACCCCAGCGCCAGCAGCTCCTCTTCGCCAGCAGCCCAGCGCCCGAGCCCTCTTCTCTTCACTTCGACATCGCCCAGCAGGCAGGGGCAGCAGCAGCCAGCAGTCCCTTTGTTTTGGAGAAAAACAGCAGCAGCCCGAGCCCTCTTCTCTTCACTTCCTCTTCTCTTCCCGATGCATTAACCGGTATTCGATATACTGGTATTAATACCGGATACCGACTATTCGGTATTCGGTATACCGGATAACATTCGGTATCGGTATTCGGTGGGTACACTGTCTGGTTCCGGTATACCGAATACTGGCTAACCGGATACCGACCGATTACCAGCCCTATCCACAAATAATGCAAAATAACGAAACCCCATAAATCAGTGTGAACTAACGCAAAAGGTTCACTATATTCTGTAGTACTTAAACTGAATGAGTGTTGAGATAATTTAGCAGCAACACAATGAACACAATCTCGAGAATCAAGAGGAGAAATAGATCCAGGTAACAACTTCGTCTTAAACATATCCAACAACCGGGTCGAATGGGGATGACTCAAACGACTATGCCAAAGCTCCCAATTAGAAAGTTTAATAGAAAAACATGAAGACCCAGACCCATCTCGAACACCATCTGGAACCCCTTGGCGACAATCACTTGAAACAGCCTCCATCTTCCCATTTCCCAGTCGATCCCCAGCAAGAGTGTCTAAAGTATAGATCCGTCCATGTTTAGTCCCTTGGCCGATCACCTTCCCCGACATCGTGTCCTGTATAGCACAACCATGCGAATCAAAAGTAACACGACAACCACCCTCAGTTAACTGCCCCACAGATACAAGATTCGGAACAAGATTAGGCACATAAAGAGCATTGTTAAGCTTAACCCCTTGATGTTCAACAGTGCCAATGCCGTGAGCAGGAATACAAGTTCCATCAGCTACTTGTAAGTGCACACCCGGAGCAGGTGTTAGACCAGTAAAGGAAGATCGACAGCTGGTCATATGATTAAAAGCGGCCGAATCCAAATGCCAATCCGAGGAAAGAGAGGAGAGAGGCTTACCAGTGGTAAAAACTGAACCCAAAACTGAGGGAAGAGTCTCCTTTAAAACCTCCTGCATTAACTGGCGAAGAGATTCGCGCGAAGTAGAAGAATCAGCCGGGAGAGAAGGCGCAGCAGCCACAGTAGCATAGGCAGAGAGAACATGCCGAGAAGAGGTTGAAGAAGCTCCAGTGGAACGCGGACCACCCCGGCGAGCAAGAATCGAGCAATCACTAATGACATGCCCCTCCTTTTTGCAGTAATTACAAGCGATACATTTGGGACACCGCCGCTGCACATGGCCCGGCTCTCGACAATAATGGCAGATGACCTCCCCGGACGGAGTGCGAAGGAACCGCGGCTTATAAGTAGCCGCAAACATCGCAGCAGGCTCCGAGGGAGTCGAAGGCAACGCAACTCCTGGCCCGGCAGATGTGTCAGCAAAAGCAGACGAACCAGGCGCATCGGAAGAGTGAAGATCGATCTTGGCCTGACTACGCAATCTCATCTCTTCACGAATAAGCTCGCCTAGTACATCCTCAATCGTGGAAACGTTACGATGAAGCAAGAATGACCGAACACCTTCAAACTCAGGCCTCAAATTCATAAGAAAATACATAAGACGGGAACTAGCACGTTCCTTAAGAACCTCCGAGGTAGCAGCAGCCGAAATTGAGGAAGCAGTCAACAAATCAAGCTCGGTCCAAAGGCTGACCAGAGTTTGATAATATGTACGAACATCCATATCCCCTTGGTGACGACGAGCAATGTCTACCTCCAATTCAAACTTCTGTGACGCGCTCGATTGGGAGTGCAGCGCATGAAGATGCCTCCACATCTCGTGAGCAGTTGAAAATCCCCTCAAACTTAAAGCAATAGTAGGCTCACAGAAGCCAACAATCCAGTGAATGACCTGGGCATTATAGATCGCCAGTCCTCAATTTCCTTAGCAGCAACACCGGCAGCAGGCGCAGGTAAGGACCCGTCCAGGATCGGGAGAAGACGGCGGCCTTGTACAAAAACTCGGAACTGAAATTCCCAGAGCGAAAAGTTCCGACCATTGAACTTAATAGTAACCGAATCAACCTTTGATGAATCCATCACAACAGCCAACGAAACCAGAACAAGAAGAGCGCCGCCAAAAGCCAAGAACGAACAACAAAGGCACTCACAAACCAGAACAGCAACGTATAGGAGAAGAACCAAAAAACTCACCCCAAGAGAATGGCGAATACCCAGCTCACTGTCGCCACTCAAACACCCAGGCAATCACGCAGAAACAAGCCCCAAGATCAACACGGGAGAGGCTCTGATACCATGTCAAAATATGAAATATAGCATAATCGAAACACGGAATTTAACGTGGTATCCTCAACGTATTGTTGAGATTAATCCACGAAGAGGGAAAAACCTCTCGGAGTCAATTGTTACGTAGCTTTCAAAGGCTTAAGAGTTACAGACGACATAATGACATATATATATATATATATATATATATATATATATATATATATATATATATATATATATATATATATATATTAGCCGCCCATAAACCCTAAGCTAGAGGCTGCGGAAGGTAATTAACCGAAAACTACCAAGGTTAATTACAATCCAGCACCTAATCTTACTCTAGCCAACTCGACCGCACACAAAAAGAAACAAGACTCCTAATCGGCTACAAAACTAAATTGGCCCATGCAAAATTGCAAGCTAGGGCATAAGAATCCTGCAGCTCAAAAACCACCGCCGCGCCGCCGCCGATATGAAGGAAGCAATCCCGGAGGACATAGCGATCGCGATCCTGTGGAGGCTTCCCGTCGGTGCATGCATAGCCAGATTCTGCTGCGTCCAAAAAACATGGTATCACCTCCTCTCGGATCCCTCTTTCATTACCCAAAAGCTCTCATCTGGCAATACTATTTCTCCCGAGATGAAGATTGGTCATAGATTTCCTAGTCAGTTATCAAGGAATTTGAAGCGTTTTTTCGTAGACGAAGCGAACAACACGATTACAGTCAGAGATGAATGCGTTGTTGTCTATAGTCCCGAGACGGGACAATTTAGTGAACTTGGGAACATGGGTAACAGGACACTGCGTCAAATCGTAACGAGTTATGTACCCTCTCAAATTTAGGGGTGGGTATTGGTGCGGTTCGCACCGCACCGCACCGCTTTGATACAAACTGCACCGCACCGCATATTAATTGGACCGCACCGCATGTTGGACCGCAATATAATCGGTGCGATCAAACCAAACCGCATTGGTTAGCGGTTTGGTACGGTTTAGCCCGCACCGCATATTTGACCGCAATTCATAATGAAACAAATAGAAAACAGAGCATTCCAAAAACAGAGCCGGGATCATGTCGTCGTTCACTTTTGGAGTTGGGCCGGTGACTTGGATCTACGCGGGGGAAGTTTTCAATCGGTGGCTATGTTTCTATCACATTGCTGGACGGCTCGTCGTACGTGCCATTTCTCTGCTTGTTTTCGTCTTCTACTTCAACTTGTTCATAGACAAACAAGGGCAGATTCTAGAAACAGATTGATGGAAAGTACACTACAAACAGAGGAATGGAAAAATATGAACTGGTACAATCTCATAAAAAGTAACTGGCATGAAGACACTTGGTTCTCAAATTACACTAATTAAAGCCTGTATAAATCCTCTAACTTCAAGCCTAAGGCTGCAGAACACAGACGACAACTGCTTTGGGTCCATCTTATTCTCAAAACAGAAAACATAGCATTCCAAAAACAGAGCATTTTTTTTTTTTTTTTGCAGACCCACTAAAGTAGATCTGATAACAGGTCCATTACCATTCCAAAGTTCCAACACCATAAACTTGAGCTCTAAATGGTAGCTAAAACAAGGCCGAATCCTCCAGCAAAACTACAAACTATAATTAAAAACCATAACTTCAGGAAGACGACAACTGCTTTGGGTAACTGTGAATTCAGTTAGATATTCAGCTGCATTTCAGCCCTCGGTCGCTGCATCTACTGTTTTCGTGTTCCCCTCCAAGCCTCGCTTCCAGATAGCAGCAGCTAATGTTGATGGATCTCTGAGAATTGGAAGAAGATGTAAGCATACAAGACCTATTAATAATATATATATATATATGCATTGTATAACTAACTGTTAATAATATGAAGGCTTATCAACATAGTCTGGCTCATCAACATAGTCAAAAGAACTTTAACTAAGTAGCTGTGCTTTCTTCTTAGCAAAACAACCCACAAAAAAGAGAATGAATAAGATTATTAGATCAATTACCTGACGTGTTTGCGTTTGCCTGTATAATAGGACTCGTACGAGGGGTATTGGTAAAAGGAAGTGGAACATCAGAAATGTTAATAGCCTTCAACACCATGCTTAACTCTGAAATTCATAAAATGTCACCATCAACTTGAGCATTAAACAAAACTAATAGCATTTTTATTGAACTTTTGAATTCTAGCAGGTGATTGCCTAATAAATCTCACAGCCTCCCTGATTCTCTTAATAGAGACAGATATCTCAGACAATCCATCCATCACAACAAGGTTCATTATATGGGCAACACATCTGACGTGAAGAAATTTGCCATCACACATGCTAATCTTTCTATCATCAAAAATACTTTTCAATTCTTCTATTGCAATGTCATTCGAGCTAGCATTGTCAACCGTGATTGTGAAAATCTTATCTATCCCCCATTCATCCAAACAAGACATAACTGCACTTGCAATATCCACCCCCTTATGACTGAATATTTGGCGAAAACCAATTATCCTTTTTCTTAATATCAAGTTTCTGTCAATAAAATGGGCTGTCACACACATGAAATTCAATTGCTTGTTGGAAGTCCATGAATCTGTAGTCAAGCAAACTCTACCTTCACAGTTGCTAAAGACATTCTTTAACTTTTGCTTCAACTCAAGATAAAATTCCCAACAATCCCTAGTCACAGTCCTTCTAGAAGGTATGCAGAATCTAGGACAAGTAAGTGACATAAAATACTTGAAACCCAAGTATTCAACAAACCTAAAAGGTAATTCATCCACAATAATCATATAAGCCAATCCTTTCCTTATAGCGGCTTGGTCAAACTTCCAGCTCCCTAACACTACTTCATCAAAACCAGCATAAACCAGGACAATTCACAAAACCAGCATAAACCAGCATAAACCAGGTGGCAACGGACCACATAAGTAAACACACACACACACATCAAATCCCGCTTAAGAATGTAACCATAGTCAAGAAACTCACCCCATTAGATACCGATGCTTGAGCTCGTTTTCCCTGCGAGCTTTTTGATTTCATTTTGCAGATAATATCTTCTTTTTCCCAACTGCTTGATATCGAATTTGAAAGAAAACAGTTAGAAACATGGATCTTTTAATTACCCTCGCTGTGACAGTGCACTTAAACCAAAATTTGAAACCTTCAGGTTCCCAAATGCATCTAATAACATACTAGCTCTGTGCCCGGCCCTTGGCCGGGTCGATTTGCTCAAATATTTACGTGGGGTCATGTAAGCATTCTATTGCAACTCTTTGTGTCAGATACTCAGGTCAGCCTACATATGAGGACTAAAGTACTTTTCACGTCTTGGAACTTGGTGCTTCCATTGTTAGCTTGTGTTGTAGCTTGAGTTGTACCATTGCATTGTTGTCTGGAATGCAAGTTATAGTTTCTTTTTCACGGTCGTTAGCAATGGTGATGTAGCAATAGCCTCACTCGATGTAGATCTGGTTGCGGAGCTGTTCATGTTGATTGTATCTTCAATCTCTCTGTTTCATTGCCCTGTGAAAATATGGCATTTGTCATTAAAGTTCTGAAACATATGTGGATGCATTGTTGGTTGGTACCCATGGTAGCTTATAAACAAAGAAATTATCTCCTCATGAGTGCGAAATCTAATTGCATAATTTGCATTTAAGTGGATAAATTTTACAATGCTATATAGTATTGGTGCTATAGGTTTTTGCTTCTATGGTACAACTTAAAATTGTATATTCACGTTATGGTACAACTTCAGATTGTACCTATACTTTTTGTACAAATTTTTTTATAGTACAACTTGAACTTGTACTTTTATGTGATGGTATAAATTCAAGTTGTAAAGTTGTACCATAACATAATGATACAAATTGCTTTATGGTACAACCTAAACTTATACATTTAATTTTATGGTTGTCATTTAATTTTATGGTACAACTTTAAGTTGTACATTAAAGCACCAATGCTATAAGCATAGTAGAAGTGCTCATTTAAGTGATCAAAGACTATAACCTATAGAAAATAAATAGTAAACACAATGTGGGTAACGTGGTTGAAGGAATTCAACAAATAAACCCCAAAAGAAATTAATTTGGATGACTCTATAGTCTATATATCAAAGTACAGTGATGAATTTGATCACAAAGCTTTCAAAACGTTGACATGATTTAACAATGTATCACAATTATACATCAACCATCAAGAAAATCATTTATGGAACTATGAATTCGTACTGGTGCTTGCCTTGCTTGGGAGTTTGATGAGGACATTACAGTACTGCTTGAACTGCTGACTCCTATCACTTTTCCACTCTTCCAACTCTTCGGGATTCATCGCCATCGATTTTTACTCTAACTTCGAATATGTTACATTAGGGCAGCTATAGTTCAACAGTGTATTGGTTTCAAATCAGAACCAAAGAGACGATATATGGGAATTACTTGAGATTGAAGTGACAAATTACCTGATATAAACATTTAGGCAGGGAAGAAGAACATCCGTTTTGGGCGTATGATAGGTTGCTTCCAAGACACTGGTCTCGAACTCCAAACTTAAGTCACAATTTAGATTTACAGGCAGGAAGCAATGGTTCCTTCGCCACAAAATTGCAAAAAAGTAAAGAAGAAACAGGGATGAGCATATTCAGAAATCAACTGAAGAGGAAGATTCAGATAAAAAATGGACTTAATTTCTTCATAATCCGCCTCCCTTAATAATTTTCAATCAGTCTGTTAAGGGTACAATTAATTCAAAATCCAAAACTATACCCACATATACCCAAACTAACTACCATGGCAAAGCAAAGCAGAGCTTTCACATCCGAATTCTGGAGTAGGGAATTCCAAACTCCCATTCTCTTCTTAGTAATGGGGAGTGTAGTTTGAATGTTGTAAAGCGGCTGGTGACTAACCTGTAATTTGCAGAGTGTAATGGCGTGAATCGGTGAGTTTGATTGAGACGAATTGGGGCGGGTGGAGAAGGCGAATCGGCGGCGCAGTTTCACCTACCAATAACCCCTCCACATGTGGATGGAAAAAAAGTATATTGCAAGTGGAAATCGGGGGAGAGGCGACTGGCGGTTACAGACGCATCTTCGCTACCGCCTGCTTCCTTAATGTTGTTCATTTTTTTCGTCTTTCCCTCGTTTCTCATTCATGGCCTAATCCGGCAGCGGAGGAGTAAAGGGGCGAGACATCAAGCATTCGTCGCTGGGCATGTCGGTTTCACGTCGCTTCCCACCCTCTCACGGAGAAACAAAATGCCCCAATCCTGAATCCGATTCCCGTTCCAAGTTTGAGTCGGAGAAAATTGAGGTTGAATGATTCTCTGTGACTTGTGAGAATCTGTTTGGGGGTTGAACAGAAGAAGAAGAGGGAAAAGCACAGGTGATATTCCCTTCCCGCGTATAAAAGAAGAAGAAAAAAGTAAACATATCCCCGGAAATTGTCGAGGGATTCGGTTTCCAAACGTCTTAAAAAAAAAAAATTAACATGTGGCGGACTGCTATTGGATAAAGGGGTCGCTGACGTGGAAACATGTGGTGAACGAAAATTTGAATTGGAGAGGCTGTTTACGGGAAAACACTTATAATATTCTTTAGATTTTCTGCATTAACAAGTTGCTGGAAGTACCAATACTGCATCAGAGTACTAATGAAGGAAATAGCTCTGCAGATTATCATCTGGGTTTAACTGGTTTTTGATGTTTTACGACTCTAATCAGAACTAAGTACCCTGGAGATAATATACGTGGATTAATCATGTCATCAAGCAGCCATGAATGCAGAGTGTACAGTATCAACCATTTAAGTCCATGAAGCAGAGCAGAGCAGAGCAGATCCCGCCATGAATCCTGAACCTGACTCATTCAAGATTTATTTCATGTCGGTTTTGAATGGGAGACCATCTCTCTGTTTGAATGAAAATGGCCTCCATAGATGGAAACCCACGAAGCCTAGTAGGAAACCCACGAAGGGGCAAAGGGTTCGGCGGGTCCGTCAGTGAGAGTGTGAGACCTATTAAGGAAAAGAGGAGGGAGAAAGAGAGTACCAGAGGAATCGTCGGCGCTGGAGTCGGGATGTCGGGAGTACCCTCGCAAGAACAGATCGGGAGTCGGGATGGAGGAATCGTCGGCGTCGACGCTGGAGCTATCGCCTCTTAGTGGTGCGCGACGTCGTCGAGAGGCACGGATAGATCGACGTCGTCGGGTAGGTAGTCGGGATGGAGGAATCGTCGGGTAGGTAGTCGATGGCGCCGCCGCAAGGCTTGCTCTTGTGGTGAATCCCTCGCTGAGCTGGGTAGGGATTTAGTGGTTTGCGGTTTTGAACCACAACCGCGCAGTTTCGGTCGACCCGTACCACAAAATCGCGAACCGCTTAGGATTAGACCGCAAATTAAACTGCAATCTTAATGGTGCGGTTTGGATTGACCGCATAAGCGATTTGGAGCGGGCGGAGCGGTTTGGACCGCACCAATGCCCACCCCTACTCAAATTGCCTTGCGGTGCGTTAGTCTTGTTCCAATGATGCTCTAAGTTGTGAATGCGATGCTCATTAATAAGAGCATATTCTAATTGATTATCAAATAATTTACCTATCAGAGGTAGTTGAGATCTCTCGGATATCGCCACCTCCATTCAGACGGTCCCCATCATTTTGGGTGTTGTACTGTAGCATTCGCTCTTATGGCTTGCTGGGGATATGTTCCATCACCCGAGCATATAATTGAGAGGGCACTGTAGAAGGTCTTCAGTTGGCCTGTTGGGACATGGGTTATATCGTCGTGTTCGTTTGAAACTAGACTTTGAGATGCGGAGTCTTGCTTCTGATCTAGAGTAGTGATATGATTGATCATCATCACGCCACCATAACAGACCGTTTCCAGGAGTTAATCGCCAGAGATTTGGGAGGTGTCTATCTCCCATATTTATCGTGAAGGCAATAAGTGTGCATATTTACTAGTTGGGGTCATTCTCTTCTCTCGGGTTTACATACTGCTTCGGTTTCTTATCCTGCTCTTCGTTCATTTCTCTTGTATGACTGTCAAGGCCTTTCCAAGCATCATCTTATTGTGAATACAAGCTAAGATTTGTTGCATCTATTTACCACCAAAAAAAAGTTACTACTTACTGTTTGGATTTGAATTAAACCATCGACGGCTTGTTGGAAGTTGAGATTTCAGATGATGTAATTAGAAGACTGCTTCATTTTTTGTCTTAATAAAATGAAACACAATACTTGTATTTGAGGAGAAGATGAGACCACAACAATCATCATTATGGATGATTGTCGATAACTCATTTTTTTAGAAACTACCAAAATCATGCAACATCAGACCCGTTTTTTACATATATATCTCCTTATTTAATTTGAGACCCTATTGTATTCATCTTTGGACTTCTATTGAATCGAGAAATGAGTTTGATTGTCAATTTTTTGGATAATCTATATCCTGTAAACAGTATTTTTTCAAAGCTATATATTAAAACAATGGATTTTGCTACGGTGACATGCATGTCACCGTGACATGGACTTTTCGGTCGACCTAATCTACAAGGCGGTCGACCGAATTGACAAATTCAGTTATGTGAGGTTCAGAGACGTGGTCGACCGTCTACATAAAATGGTCGACCTGTTTGGTGGTATAACAGAATGAAAGGTCGACCCAAATATCTCATAGGCCGACCCTTGTGCACCTATCAGGTCGACCCATTCACGTCCTAAATCTCTATAAATACGAATATAAGTCCCCTTCAACGCCACCAAAAGTCTGAATTAGGTTTTTTCGATTTAGAGCCTTTGTGAAGAAGATTGTTCGCGGTTGCTGTTATACGTGTCGAAAGTGGTCGACCACGTCTGAGGTGAGGTCGACCTAATGTAGCATTCGCCGTCATTTTCTCTAATGCGTGATTTCCACCGAAAATAACAACTTAAACTAAGTGCGGTCGACCACGTGGTCGTTGAGGTCGACCGCAATGCTTTCTCGTGCTGCCCAAATTAGTCAATTCGGTCGACCGCTTTCATGATTAGGTCGACCGAAAAGTCCATGTCACAGTGACATGCATGTCATAGTAGGCATACCCTAAAACAATACATCTAATTAAAATATATTTTTTTATTAAATGGATACGTTTAGAAAATCTAGCTTCCAACATAGCCAAAGCTACCTCCCTCTCCCTCCCGTACTACAGGTTGCAATCAACTGGACCAATGGCCACTGCAGGCCTTAGCTCAACTGAGACTCCGCCACGAAAAGTAAAAGCCCAAAGCCCATATATGGCGGGAAGGCTCCCAATACTATATTCCAAAACCAAAAGTTTCCCAAAATCATCACCGAATTTGTCGGCTACCCGGTATACCAGGGTTTTTGAAGGGGTTCTCCTTCACATTCGTCATCTCCCTTCCTATCTTCTTCTCCGTACGAAGACCATTGTCTCTCACAAACACCATTGACAAGAGGTCGGCGAGACTAAAACCCCAAATATGGGTTCTCTGGATAACGTGGCAGACAAAGCAATGGACAGAGAAAAACAAGCTGCAGAAGAACAGGACGAGCCCATTCTGAAAGAACAGAACCAGAGGTTTTGCATGTTCCCCATTAGGTACAAGCAACTCTGGGAGATGTACAAGAAGGCTGTGGCTAGCTTTTGGACTGGTAAGTTCTCAATTCCTCGAACTGATTAACTCTCTGTCCCTTCGTCTTTCCATACATGTGGACATTGATGAGATAACAATTCTCTGAAGAAGATGTCGTCGGAAGTTTCTGTGCCCTTTTCAATTGGTTGCCATGTGATTGGCAGAAATAGGCATGAAGTTGGAATTTTTATATATCTGTCCTGGAATTATGGATAATCTTGGGGGTTATTTACTGGGTTTCCTTGGTACAAGTTTTCAAGATACTCCAAATGTTTAGTGCATGATGTAAAGCAACTACCTTTATTGAGAAATGCATTTTGGGTGTTCAATTGCCACACTAATGATTATCCTTCACCGTTTGTTGTTGAAAAGGGTTTAGAAAAGAGAGGTATAGGCTATGATTTTGGTTCATGGTATATGTACTATGTGGGTGCATAAAATACCCATCTTGTACTAGGTAAGGCATTCGCACTGTTAAGACAGACTTATCGTGACAAATTTGGTAATTGGGTGATGGTTTTGGCTTGAGAGAGTTTAAAGTTTTTTTCTTTATCTGCTCCTTTTTTCACCCTGTTTGCAGTGGCTTGATGGGGAATTTTGTTAGTAACTGCTTGGGTCTAAACTTTACTCTGATTTACACCCGGTTTCTTATCAATTTGGTTCATATATGTTTGTAACTGGCTTACAGCTGAGGAGGTTGATCTCTCCCAAGACATGCGGGATTGGGAAACATTGTCTGGTTCGGAGAAGCACTTTATCAGTCATGTGCTAGCCTTTTTTGCTGCTTCTGATGGTATTGTGTTGGAGAACTTGGGTGCAAGATTCCTTAATGATGTTCAAGTTCCAGAGGTGAAAAAGCTTGGACAATGTTCCTTAATTTGTTAAAGGGCTATATACTGTTTTCCTTTGCCTTGTGCTTGTATTTTGTTAAAAAATCCAATACTGGGTTCTACTTTCATCCCACCAATCGCTTTGTCCAAATTTTGATGTTCTAGTTTTCCAGCTTTCTATTTGCCTAATATAATGGTCAGATGCTTGGGTTTATGGCAAATTAGGCTCCCATTTAAAGCGGTCTTTTGCTCTATGGTGCAAGGCTATGTTACACTGGACTTCACTTTCCTTTTTCTCTGTATTATCTGATCAGCATGCTTCACAAATTTTCCAGGCTAGAGCATTCTATGGATTTCAGATTGCAATGGAGAACATCCATTCTGGTGAAGCTCTCTTTAAACACTTAGTTGATTTGAATATTGGCATGGACTACTAGGAACTGAACGTGGAACTTCATGTTTCATTTAATCAGAAATGTACAGTTTGCTTCTGGAGACGTACATCAAGGACCCAAGTGAAAAGCATAGATTGTTTAATGCAATAGAAAACATTCCTTGTGTGGCCAGGAAGGCTAACTGGGCGTTGGATTGGATCAACAGGTACGCTGCTCTCCATTTTGGGTTTGATTAATGGCACCTAACAATTGTAGAATAATAGTAGAATGATCGAGTAAGAATTAAATGGTCCCTTTTTCCGCTTATTTTTATTGTACTACGAAAAAACCTATGTTTTAATATGTCTTTGTTCTTGTTTAATTTGCAGTTCCAATTCATTTGCAGAGAGACTACTTGCTTTTGCTTGTGTTGAAGGAATCTTCTTCTCTGGGAGGTACAAGTCTCTCCTTTGTGCCATGACATATTCTGCTTAAAACAACCACTCTTGCATCATAGTTTGAATCCGAGGTTGTTGATTTTTTTTCTCTATCCAGCTTTTGTTCCATTTTCTGGCTTAAAAAGAGGGGCCTGATGCCAGGTTTGGCATTCTCAAATGAACTGATATCCAGAGATGAGGGTCTGCACTGTGACTTTGCTTGCCTTTTGTATAGGTACCATTTTTCTGTCTCAAGTCTCCATTTGAAAATATGAAAAAACTAATTCCTCTAAGAAGTGCATGTCCTTTATCTTATAGTTTGTTACAGAACCAAGTTCATTGGCAAAAGGTTCATCTCATCATTGATGCTGCGGTGGAAATTGAAACAGAGTTTGTGTGTGATGCCCTCCCTTGTGCATTGATTGGCATGAACTCTGATCTGATGAGTCAGTACATCAAGTTTGTTGCTGATCGGCTTTTGGTATGTCTCTAATTTGACGCTTAAGTAATTCCTTATGAATTGCAAAGAAAAAAAAGTCAATTGCTTCCTCTTCTATTTTTCAGGTTGCTCTAGGTTACGAGAAGAAGTACAAAGTGGAAAATCCTTTTGAGTGGATGGAATTCATATCTTTGCAGTGAGTTTTTTTTATTTTGGATAAGGGTGATGTAGGTTTCAGTTTTTTTTGTGTGATTAAGGTACTACTTAGGGGATTCAAACCTAGGATTTCCAGGTTCTAGAGTAGTGGTATTACCACTAGAGTCTAGACCAAGCTCTTGTTCGTATCTTTGCAGTGAGTTTCAATCTTATTTCATTGAAAGTACTTGCGTTTGACCAGAGATGTTATATGATTATGTAGTCCTTGCTCCTTTAGTAGAGGTTATGCCCATTTTATACTTATTAAGCATGTATTTCATTCTGTCGCTTCCTTGAGAACAAGCTTCTACTGTGCCAGTAATTTTGTTTGTCTTTTCAGTATATCCTGAACAACTGCAAACTAGAGAG